TATGTTCATGCATTGTGGCCATGAAGGAAAAACTAAGTCATAAATGTTGCTCTTAGAAAATATTGTGTTAGATTTATCTTGTGTCTCCAGAGATAAAATGATAGATTTTGTTTTGATTATTTTAGATTTTCTTTTACAGAAACATAAATCAAAGTTAGTTAAGAAAAACTAAATTAAAATGAGAGCTCTGGACTTGGAAAAACCCAGTGGAACCTTAAGATTTGTCTGTTATATTGCTTCATTATTACTTGTTATTTCCAGTCTATTTATATAGAACTATGATTATTTATAAAACATATTTTTATAGTTTTAATGTAAAAATTCTATTAAGGAGACTCTATATAATATTTGTTAATTAAACTTTCAAGTTTGGAAGTAAATCATTACTGCACACTGTTTGTCAGAAGTTATGACACTCTTTATAAAGCTGTTTTAAAAAATCTGGGGTGATAGGCTGGGCACAATGGCTCACCCTGTAATCTCAACACTTTGGGAGGCCAAGGCAGGAGCAACACTTGATCCCAAGAATTGAAGACCAGCCTGAGCAACAAAGTGAGACCCCCAACTCTACTGAAAAAAAAAAAAAAAAAATTAGCCAGGCATAGTGGTTGCACACTTGTAGTCCTAGGTTCTTGGAAATCAAAAGTGGGTGAATTGGTCCTGGAGGTTGAGGCTGTAGTGAGCTGTGATTGCACACTGCACTTCAGCCTGTGTGATGGAGAAAGACACTCAGTAAAAAAAAAACAGAAAAGAAAAAGTTTGAGGATTGCTTTTAGTTTTACTATAATTTAGGTTATTAATGTTATAGATTTATCCTTTTCTGCTCTTCGAGACTTTCAATCTCATCTAAGTCTCATCTTTACTGGTTTATTATTGTTATTTTTTTTTCCCATTGGTAATTCCTCTCAGTTTTACTTTCTAAAAAATATCCAAACTCTTAATGTTCATCACCACCTCCATACAACTACATTTATCTAAGCCTTCATCATAGTTCACCTAAGTAGACTCTCCCAGTAGCCTCTTACTGGACTTCCAGCTTCCTTTTTTTTTTTGTCTATATAGTCTTTTATTTACATAGCACATAGAAAGATCTTAAAACATTTACTCTACCCAAAACCATCCCAAAGTAAAAGCCATAGTCCTTAGTATGGCCCTTAGCGTCCTTTGTGACTCGCCTGTGGCTGTTTCTCTAATCATCTTGCCTAATACTTTCTGTTTTTTCACTATGCTCTAGCCGTAGGACTTTCTTACTCTCTCCCTGAATGTTAAAAGCATACTCTTCAGAATATTTGCACTTACTGTCTTCCTCCCAGACTGCAGTTCTTTCAGATACCTGAATGAGTTGCTCCCACAGTTCATCCAAGACTCTACTAAAATGATTTCATCAGAGGATAAATCCAACCTCTCATATCTAAAATTCTCCTCTTACCTTACTTGGAAAGCAGCCTATATGCATAACTATAGATTTTTATTTTTTTCTCTTAATATTTAACTGTTTTCTTTCCCAGGTCTAGTTTTTTATTTTTGTTTTTAGATGGGGTCTCACTGTGTCGCCCAGAATGGTCTTGAACGCCTAGGCTCAAGCAATCCTCAACCTTAGCTTCTGAAGCAGCTGGGATTAGGGGCATGCCAGGCACCTAGTTCCAGGCTTAGCTTGACAGCATATATTTTTAGCAACGTTTTACTGAATTCTTTCAGAACATTCAAATTAACTTCATAAAAACAAAAACTTTTTTGTAACCATAAATTCACTGATGTATATAATAGTTAATTATATCTCATAATTATAATAAAAGATATAGTTAGCATAAATGTTTTGGGAATAAACATACCTGATGCTTGGTAAAGCTAACACTTGACTGATTGAAGCAGAAATATTGGCTTCATTCTAGAGTACTGTGCCAGAGTCAGCATACATAATATGTGAACATTAGTCAGAATGTTCTGCACAAGTAGAGTCTTCAGTCCAGTAAGTTGATCACATAGAGTTCAATTAAAAGATCTTAATTTTTAATCAAAACTAGAAACTGAAATAGATTTAGCTTGATTACTTACATATATAGCTTTTCCAGATTATCCTAACTATTGGATTAATTCATCTTTAAAATAAATGATATGATTGCCTATAATACTTTTATATAAAAGTAATTCCAAGAGAGGGAATAAATGACTACTAGAGAATTGCCACTTTTCTTAAAATAACATAGATTGTAAAAAATACATCTAATAGGTTTGTGCTTGCCATTGTTCCATCTGTGAGCCGCACCCTTCTATAGAAGTAAATTCCCTTGTGAGGAAAGAAAAATTAAAAGATGTATTACAAATGGATAGTGTTGATGGTTGCACAAAATTGTAGACATACTGCATGTCACTGAATTATACACTTAAAAATGGTTAACATGGCAAATTTTATGTTATGGATATTTTATCACAGTAAAAGGAAACTGAAAAAATATTTCTTTACTACATTTTTTAAGTGTAAATAAAAACTTTGGGCAGTGTTACTGTACAGTAGAGAAGAAGCAGCAGAAATTATTGAATTGGAAGTATTTATATAATACTAGTTCTATCACGAGTGAGTTGGATAAATTTTGGCAAACCTTTTAAACTATCTTATCTGTAGTTTTCTTAAATTGAATACAAATGTACTTGTTCTTAACTCTTAGGAATTTCATGAAGAACTAACTGTTATGTTTTATATATACTTATGTATACTTTTCATAAACCACAAATAAGTTTATACACTTTAGCTAGAACTTTTTGTAATTTCAGAGGGGTTATTGAACTGACTGTTGGCATTAGATAAAAGAATTTGGCTTCAGGCATTTGCTATTGGGGCCTTAAAAATATTTACATTTTTTTTATTTTTTTAGACAGAGTCTTGTTTCATCGCCAGGTGCCAGGCTGGATAGCAGTGGCATGATCTCGGCTCACTGCAACCTCCGCCTGCCAGGTTCAGGCAGTTCTCCTGCCTCAGCGTGCTGAGTAGCTGTGACTACAGGTGCACGCCACCACACCCAGCTAATTTTTGTATTTTTAGTAGAGGCGGGGTTTCACCATGTTGGCCAGGATGGTCTCCATCTCTTGACCTCGTGATCCTCCTGCCTCGGCCTCCCAAAATGATGGTATTACAGGTGTGAGCCACATTGCCCAGCCAAAAATGTTTATATTTCTTTCTGTAATTTTTTTGTTTTGTTGTTTGGGAAAATGCAGCTGTTTTCTCCTAGGGTATAATTAGTTGAGAATGGAAAAGTTTATCTTATATTTGGAGAGTTATACTTCCTATTTCCATTATAAAATTTTCATTTTTTTTTTCCCCTAATTGGTATCTTTGCTTAATAGGTCCTCTTTACAACTTTTGGGGAGAAAGCCTCCTAGACTGAGATAGATATTAGATAATTAGCTTTTTCTTTCTCATTGGAAGTCAGTGAGTTAACTAACAGCAATCATAAAACTTATACAAATCAAAGTTATATGATTTGTGTAAGTTACATACAATGGAACAGAGAATGATAGTTTGAGTAAGATACAATGATAAAGTTGTAAATCAGATTTAAGCAACAGAAAATGATTTATTGCTCTTTTCCCCAGGCCAGAGTGGAGTGGTGTGATCTTGGCTCACTGCAACCTCCCCATTCCAGGCTAAAGCATTTCTCCTGCCTCAGCCTCCCAAGTAGCTGGGATTACAGGCAAGCGCCACCATGCCTGGCTAATTTTTTTTTTATTTTTAGATATGGGGTTTCACCGTGTTGGCCAGAGTAGTCTTAACTTCTGACCTTATGTGATGCGCCTGCTTTGACCTCCCACAGTGCTTGGATTACAGGTGTGACCACCACGCCTGGCCTAGAAAATCATTCATCTTGGGCACTGACTAAATTGCATTTCTAGATACTCACTGCCAGTAGACTAAAAGATTTTTTTCCTCTCTGAATAAGAAAACCGTAAGTTGGAGGAACTGAAAATTAATTAATTTTTGCAAAACATCCCTGTTTGTTTTAATAATAACAGACTCATTTTAATAGTATACTGTAATAAAATTACCAGCACCACTCACTACTCTTGTGCTTTGTGGCCATTCTGAAGTAAAATAAGGGTTAATTGAACACAAGCACTGCTTACCAAGACAGTGGATATGCCGAGAGGGCTGCTAAGTGACTAATGGCGGGTAGCGTATACAATGTGGATACACTAGACAAAAGTGTGATTCATATGTTGGCCAGGATGAAGCAGGACAGCGCAAGATTTCATCAGGCTACTCAGAATGGTATGCAGTTTAAAACTTATGAATTGTTTATCTTTGGAATTTTCCATTTAATATTTTTGGATTTAGTTGACTGTGGGTAACTGAAATGGCAGAAAACAGAACTGTGGATAAAGGGAGATTACTGTGTATATGATCCTCAGTGACTGGCTTTTTTTAGGTGTCTTATCACACTCTACTCCCACGTAACAGTGATGTTCTAGCAATGCAGACCCATCTTTCTTTGTATATTCTGAAATACAGTCCCTTGCTTTTATGTGTGATCTTCCTTCTACCTTTCCCCGTCTTGTCCAATTAGTGGTGTACTTCTCACTTTTATAATGCTTTCTTTTACTCACCCTCTATTACATTACCATTCCTTGTGTATATCTCTGTTAAAACCTCATTGCCTTTTAATTGCAATTTGTTATCTCTTTGTCTCTTTCCCTGAGTTAAACCTCTGAGTATCTTGATGAAAAGAACTTTGTTGTATCCATCCATTTATTTCCCATGCCTAGCACATTGTCTGAGGATGCTTTGTAAATGCTTGCAGAGAGCCGGAATGGTATCATGCATACGGAAACCCAAAAGTCTGACGGTGATATATGTCAACAATGCTGCTGCTCTAGGTATCATAATCGATTGTGCTGCTGGTTAGACTGGGCTCCGTGTTTGCTGGCTCCCTTAGTCCAATGCTCTGCCATTAAATGGCATGAGTTTTGGTTCTTAACAAATCGTCTTTTTTGTTTTTCCTTTACAGATATTGATGATGTTAAGAAGTTCAAACCGGGTTACCTCGAAGCTACCCTTAATTGGTTTAGATTATATAAGGTACCAGATGGAAAACCAGAAAACCAGTTTGCTTTCAATGGAGAATTCAGAAACAAGGTAAAGATGAGAATCTGTATTTTAAAATGTACCTCCTGATACCTTTACAATACTCGTTTCACTTGGGGAGTTTCTTATGTGAATATCTATATATAGCATGGTAAGAAAAAACAAACTTACATATTTAAAAACATGACTTTATTACTTAAATTTTGTTTCAGAAGCTCTTTAAGTGAATCAACAAGGCTGAAAAAATATCTGTTTCCATCTATCTCTTTATAGCTTCTTCATCTTAGAAAATGAAGGAATTTTATGATCAGTCTAATTTTGCAAATTGTGTATATAGAAAAACTTTCTATTTACTGTTTTGTGGAAGAGAAAGTTACTCACCCTTAATGTAAGTCCACAGGAGCCTTTCTCCTAAGTGTTCATTCTACCATGACAGAACTCAGCTGGTTAGCAATTGAAAGGACACCAGAATTATCTTACTGTCATAGGATTTTTCTATTAGAATACCACAGAGTTACCACAAAGTATCTCTAATATGATACAAATGGAGAGAACAGGCCAAGGAGTTAAAGTCTAAAACATGGAAATTTTTTTTAAGTTATCACCACTAGGTAAATTAAACATTTGAAACCAGCTTTTAAGTGGATACCAATAAGTATGTTTTCTAAGTGAACTAAGGCATGTTAATAAAAACTTAAAATTCATAATGGGTATTTTGCTGTAAAAGAACTGATTACTGGACTCAATATTTTTTGAAAGCACATTAAAAGAACACTTCAAATCTTGAGGGCTTTGTCTGGAATTACTAAATATAAATATAAAATTATTATTTTAGACTAAATTCTCTTAAAATATTGAAAATTTATACAATAAATTATTTTTTTCTTCAAAAATTTTGCATTTTATTATTGAGATAATTGAAATTTCAAACCTATATAGTATTTTTGTGGCTCCTTATTGTCTCAGGGTAAGTCTGCCAAGTCATGAATTTGTAAAGAATGAGGTAGTTTTTGTTTTTTTTTTTTTTTTTTTTTTAGTTTTTGACAAATAGTAATTTTTTTCTGTATAAAGATGAGGTCATTATACAACCTCTTGAGAAAATAATTGCTTTATGCATTGCTTTTTACTACTACTATTTAAAATATAGAGCCTTAGTTCCTTTAGTATTGCTATGAATGAATTCCTGAGGCTGGGTAATTTATAAAGAAAAGAGATTTATTTAGCTCACAGTCCTGCAGGCTATACAAGTGGCATGGTGGTGGCATCTGCTTCTGATAAGGACCTCAGAAAGCTTCCAGTCATGCCAAAAGACAAAGGGATAGCAGGCATGTCACAGGGTGAGAGAGAAAGCAAATGAGAGAGGTGGAAGGTGCCCAGGCTCTTTGTAACAATCAGTTATTGTGGGACTAACAGAGCAAGAACTCACTCATTACTCTGAGGAGGCACCAAGCCATTCATGAGGAATCCACCCCCATGATCCACACACCTCCTATTAGGCCTCACTTCCAACACTGGGGATCAAATTTGTACATGAGTTTTGAGAGGACAGATTCCCTCAAACTATAGCAGAGCATAACTCAAAAATTAAGTTGTCCCTCTTTAACATGGTTGGAAAGATGGCTCTCTTCTTTTATTCTAGGTTTTTCTTGCCATTCCTCTAAGCAAGTATTGGAATTGATTCTAAATAATCACACTTATCCAAATAATTTGATTAAAAAACCTATCTTTACATAATTAGATAATATATTGGATTTCTTGTCCTATATCTGAAGTGAGACCCCCCCCCACCACTACCTCACTGAGAAATAAGCCGTCTTCCATCACAGGCAATAGTAGACCTGAGAGAACTTCTTTTCAGAGGAAAAATTTCCCGTTATTACTATATCTCAGTTCCCAAGATTCTTTATTATCATAATTTGGTTAGTTATCATAATGTATTTAGTTATCATTGAAGAAGGAGCTAGTATGAACTAACCAGTAAGGACTCTCCTTAAGGAAAACAAACAACATTTTGAGGGTAAAGAATCTGAAGAACTTTCTGCTTTGGAATTATAAAGCATGTCTTCCTTAGATGTTCTTATTGCATGTATATCTAACAAGAGGTATATGTGTTGTTGATTATGCATTTTTAGACACTGTCATAAATGTCTAGGAGACGTACTATTTTCAGACAGTGGATAGTCTAAAATTACTTAGACTGAAAAAACTACATTTAGACTACCTGCAGTTTTGGTGATGCTGAAAGGGATAGGTGTATGCTTACTGACAAGCCAGAAACTGGGTTAAACACTTTACGTATGTCATCTTATTTATTCTTTCAACAATTACGTGACTTAGAGCAGAGGTTGGCAAGCTTTTTTTTGTAAAGGGTCATGTAGAAAATATTTTAGGCTTTGCAGATCGTGTAATTTCTGTCACAGGTGTTTAACTCTGCTATTATAGTACTAGAGCAGCCATAGGCCAAACACAAACAAATGTGACTGCAGTAAAACTTTACAGGAGGCAGGCTGGATTTTACCCATAGACCCTAGTTTGCCAGCCCCTGATATAGATTATCCCTATTATATTCTACTTCATAGATGAAGAAATTAAGGCTTAGCAAGCATAAGTAACTTGCCCAAAGTCACACAGCTGATAAATAGGGAAGCCAGAATTTATACCAAGTTTTGCCTGACTCTGGAGCTCCTGCTCTTAACAATTAACTGTTGTCACAAGATTAGTTTTGTGTTAGTATAACAGTGTGACTGATATTAAATACATCTTTTTTTATTTGTTTGTTTGGAGGTAGGCTTTTGCTCTGGAAGTTGTTAAATCTACTCATCAGTGTTGGAAAGCATTGCTTATGAAGAAGTGTAATGGAGGGACTATAAATTGGTAAGAATTTGTCTTTTCTATGTAAGTAATGGTATTTTATTACTAATTGGTGTTAAACAGCCATATAATACTACTTACATTCAGATTTTTTAAAAACAGAGAATTGCATGGTTTTTTAAATTTAAACAATACAGAGTACCTATTCATTGGGTATTTAGGTGATGGGCGCTATTAAGCTAGGAATTGACATGATCCTTTTTCTCAAGGGATTTATAATTTTATAATTTAGTGGAAATACTGACAAATAAATGGACATTTAATTGGAATACATTGTGCAAAGATGAAAAATGCAATTTTTCAATAGGCGAATCTATACAGTTATTTTATTTATCTAATAACTACTATAATTTCTTAGAAAGTAAAAGCCTTCTTATCCAACATGATCACTAGTTGATTGATTCAGAGGAATTAAGTAATAGTAACATAAATCAAATATTTAATTTAAAACATTTAAATTTATCTTCACCCATCTTTGGATATTAGGGCTAAGCCCCTTTTAATATAGATTCTGTAGAGATTTTGTATATACTCTGACATAAGATAGGATAAAAAATAAAGATCCTGTAATCCTTAAACTCCTTATATCTAAAAATTTCTGACAGATTTTTAGGGTTCTTTTAAAAAAAAATCATTTAAATTGTGTTATCCACACAAAATTTGACACCAAGTTTCTGTAGTGATTCACCTTCATTGAGGCTTTTTAGAGCCTCAGTATTGTTTAAAGCGTTGATAGTTTTATAACCTACTTAATGTTTATAGAAACAGTTCTTCCACGCTTTTTCACAGTTCATCTGTGAACATAATTAATACCTAAGTTATGAAATTATAGTGACAAATACAATTGACAAACACATTTAGGAACAAAAACAACTGACTCTTGGTAAGTGTAAGTATAGGAGGCAAAAGCAGGTCCTGGGGGTACTAAAGATACTACTATGAATATGATAGAGTCCCTGCGCTCTCTGAGCATAGTCTGGGAATCAGGAGGGATGTTTAAGAAATCATTAGAATAAGGTAATCAGATGGAGTAAAGAATTATTTAATTTCAAGGACTATTTTATCTAAGTCATCAAGAAGGCCCATTTTACCTACAACACAAATGCTTGAACATTCAATGTATTGATTCTGTTTCTCTTGCTTACTAAAGAAACACTGTCAACTCCTAGGCCTTCTCCTGTTTTTTTTTTTTTTTTTACCTCTTATGGAGAACACTCTCTCTTTTTTCTTAAGCATAATCTTAAAAAAAGTAGATAATTGTTTTTAATTTAAATATTATAATTTATTAACAGCAAAGCTGGATATGATTGAATGTCCTCTAGTCTTATCTATCCTAGTAACTGGTAGACTGAGCTATCCTTTATGGTGTAAAAGTGAAACTCCAGTGTAACGAGTCCCTCCAATATGAAGACAGGTCCCTGATTGTCTGAGATATATTTGCTTGCTCTTTGCTGTCTTGTCTCCTTCCCAATCTTACTTGCTAAAAAGCTTACGCAGTCTTTGATGAGACATGAGTGTTTCTCCAGGTTTCCTCAGCTACACAGCTAGAGACTATTTGTTTGGTTAGTATCTCTACAGCCTGAATTCATACCTTCTGTGCTGACTCTAATTATCTTTACTGTGAAGGTAACTTTATGTCTAAGCTCTGGAATCATTTTGCTTAGTCTCTTGAGTAATGATAAGGATTACATTAACAATAAGAGTTGATATTTATTAACTCTATTCTATGTTCCAGGTTCTGAGTGATTTATATATGTTCTGTAATTAATATTCAAGAATCCTATAAAGTATGTAAATTATTATCTCCATTTTACACATGAGGAAATTCAGTCCACATAAAGATTTAGGTTAACTTATCTAAGGTCACACAATGCATGGTGGAGCTAGGATTTAACCTTACTTTTTCTTTGTTTTTGAGGTGGAATCTTGTTCTGTAACCCAAGTTGGAGTGCACTGGCACGATCTGGGCTTACTGCAACCTCCGCCTCCCAGGTTTAAGTGATTAGCAATTCTCCTGCCTCAGCCTCTCAAGTAGCTGGGATTACAGGAGCCTGAAACCATGCCTGGCTAATTTTTGTATTTTTATTTATTTTTTTTTTTGAGACGGAGTTTCGCTCTTGTTACCCAGGCTGGAGTGCAATGGCACGATCTCGGCTCACCGCAACCTCCGCCTCCTGGGTTCAGGCAATTCTCCTGCCTCAGCCTCCTGAGTAGCTGGGATTACAGGCATGCACCACCATGCCCAGCTAATTTTTTGTATCTTTAGTAGAGACGGGGTTTCACCATGTTGACCAGGACGGTCTCTATATCTTGACCTCGTGATCCACCCGCCTCGGCTGTATTTTTCATAGAGACAGGGTTCTGCCATGTTGGCCAGGCTGGTCTCGAACTCCTGGCCTCAAGTTATCTGACTGCCTTGTCCTCCCAAAGTGCTAGAATTACAGGCGTGAGCCAGCGTACCTGGTCTAAACCTTACTCTCTTAATAGATGTATTCTTTTGCCTCCTCTGCATTTTCACAGTAAAATAACTTTTTTTAGTTTAAGAATTTTCTTTTTATTATTTATTTGTTTATTTATTTATTTTTGAGATGGATTCTTGCTCTGTCACCAGGCTGGAACACAATGGCACAATCTCAGCTCACTGCAACCTCCGCCTCCCAGGTTCAAGCGATTCCTCCGCCTCAGCCTCCCAAGTAGCTGGGACTACAGGTGTGTGCCACCACGCCTGGCTAATTTTTGTATTTTTAGTAGAGACGGGGGGTTTCACCATGTTGGCCAGGGTGGTCTTGATCTCTTGACGTCGTGATCCACCTGCCTCAGCCTCCCAAAGTGCTGGGATACAGGTGTGAGCCACCGTGCCCAGCCTAAGCATTTTCAGAATATAAGTTTCAGTATATAAAAATCATAGGCATCTAGAAAATTTAAAGTCCAAGATCTTCAAAATTTTAACTCATTTTAATCCACATTTCTCTTATTTTTTATATTAACTTAATTTGAAAATACATTCAGAGTAGTTAGTTTTTATTTCTTTTGCCTTTATATAATGAATTGCCTATCTTTCTTAATTCCTTCAACTGTACCATTGTAGATTGGCAAGCCTTCCTCTGCCTTCCTTTTTGAAACCTGTTTTTCTCACTTAGTTCAGTTTAGGTCTATACTATTATAGACATTCTCTCAATGTGTATGTAATACACAGAATTAACTAGGGAAATTGTTATAGAACTCAGATACATTGTCCCCTTCTTTAAACTTAGTGTATTCATATCTTTAGGAAGTAGAGTCTAAACATGTATGTTTTTAAAGCCCCCTATGTGATTCTGATGAGCCTCTCTGCTTAAGAACCATATTATTATTTTTATTTTGAGACAGTGTCTTGCTCTGTTGCCCATACTGGAGTGCAGTGGCGTGAACATAACTCACTGCAGCCTCAACCTCCCAGAGTTAAGTGATCCTCCCACCTCAGCCTCCCAAGTAGCTGGGACTACAGGCATGCACCACCACACCCGGCTACTTTTTAAATTTTTTGTATAGACAGGGTCTCAGTATGTTGCTGTGTATTGTCTTGAACTCCTGGGCTCAAGCAATCCACCCACCTCAGCCTCCCAAAGTGCCAGGATTACAGGCATGAGCCACTGACGCCCAGTCTTAAGAATCATAAAATCCGAACTTGTTCTCATGGAAAAACAAACACAGCCTTCCAAGATTTAGGTAACCTTTCTAGCCTCATTTTCCGTCACTTCTTGTCTCTTGTTTCATGTTACAACAACTGAAAGCCACTTGTCACTCCTTAAAAACACTGTGCTTGTAGTGATCTCTAGACCTTTACTCATTTTGTTTCTTTTGCCATGATTGTCTTCTCATTTCTTGAACTGGCCAAGTTACTCATCTTCTAAGATTTAACTTTTATGTTGTCTTCTCTAGGAAATATTTCCTCTTATAGCCCCATGCTAGCTTAAGTGCCAGTGCTCTCTGTATTCCTTGTCCCCTATGGATTTTTGTCATTACATTTGTCATAGTTATAAAGTACTTGGTTCATGAATTTGTCTTCTTCTCTACAATATAAGTTCCTCAAAAGCAGATGAATAAAGATGCCTGATTCATCTTTATATTCCTAATGCCTGGCATGTAGTAGTCACTCAATAAATATCTGTTGGAGCAAATTGTTGAATAATATTTTAAAGCCAACAAACATTTGTTTTTTGTTTTCTTTAATCCAAGTAGTGACTCTTCTTTTTTCAGCAGCACTGGATTTATTAAGTTCTTTTAATTGATACCTTGAAAATTCTCTTTCTCCAAATAAGATTTTTGTTGTTGTTTTGTATTCTTTTTTCCACTGCTGGATGTTTACTCTGAAAGCTAAATATTCTTTTAAAAGACAGAATTTTATTATTTCTAGTCTTACCGAAGAAAACTTTAAATTCGATTCTGGGGGAAATCATTTTTGCCGTTGGAGTTTTCCTTAGTCATCTCTCACTCTCTCTTCAACCAGTTGATATACCTTTTTAAGAAATCAGAAATGTACTATTCTGTTTACTACTTTCTTAACCATTATTTATTTTGATCCATCTGTCTTATACATTTTTCAAGTTTTGATTGATTCTTGAGTGCCTTCTAGTTATAAAACTAAACTAATTCAGTTACTTAACATTTCTTTACTCATAAACTGTTTTTTAATTAACAGTCCTTCTCCTGTTTAATATATTCGGTATAACACTGCCAGAATTATCTTTCAAGAGTATGAATATGACTGTCATTTTTATGCCTAAAAACATCTTATGATTCCCTTCAAATATGGGATTTCATCCAGCCCTTCCATCCTTAAACAATATGGATTTCATCCAACCCTTCCATCCTTAAACAATATATCCAAACCTACCTCTCCAGCCTCATGAGCTGTTCCCTTCCCATCCCTTTATCTTTCTTTGGACATCTTCATTTTCCAAGAAGCAGTTTAGATGTCACCTCTGCACAGTTTCATTTCTGTTGGGCTGTCATATCACTGCTGGACATATCTCTATCTAGAACTGGTGGTAGAGTTTTTTTTAATACTTTGTATTGAGTTTTTACCTCAGTACTTGATAACAGGACTTGGCACAGTTGGTAGTCTAAATATGCTTACTGAATAAAGAAATATATTCAATTCTTCTAAATTATTTAGGTCTTGAAGTTGTTTTTTTTTTTTTTTTTTTGCCTTCCTAGAGAAAGGTGTATTTGGTACTTTTTTTTTTTCCTTACTTTAAGTTCCAGGATACATGTGCAGAACATGCAGGTTTGTTACATAGGTATACATGTGCCAATGATGGTTTGTTACACCTGTCAACCCATCACCTAGGTATTAAGCCCTGCATGCATCAGCCATTTGTCCTGATAATCTCCCTCCTCTCCCCCCATTGACAGGCCCCAGTGTGTGTTGTTTCCTTCCCTGTGTCCATGTGTTCTTACTATTCAGCTCCCACTGATAAGTGAGAACATGAGGTGTTTGGTTTTCTGCTCCTGCATTAGTTTGCTGAGGATGATGGCTTCTAGCTTCATCCACATCCCTGCAAAGGACATGATCTTATTGCTTTTTATGGCTGCATAGTATTCCATGGATGTATATGTACCACATTTTCTTTATTCAGTCTATCATTGATGGGCATTTGGGTTGGTTCCATGTCTTTGCTATTGTGAATAGTGCTGCAGTAAAAATACATATGCATGTGTCTTCATAGTAGAATGATTTATATTCCTTTGGGTGTATACCTAGTAATGGAATTGCTGGGATAAATGGGATTTCTGGTTCTGGGTCCTTGAGGAATCGCCACACTGTCTTCCACAATGGTTTGAACTAATTTATACTCCAACCAACAGTGTAAAAGTGTTCCTATTTTTTCACAGCCTCACTATCATCTATTGTTTCTTGACTTTTTAATAATTATTATTCTGACTGGAGTGAGATCGTATCTTATTGTGGTTTGATTCGCATTTCTCTAATGATCAGTGATGACGAGCTTTTATTCATGTTTGTTGGCTGCATAAATGTCTTTTGAGAAATGTCTGTTCATATCCTTTGCCCACTTTTTGATGAGGTTGTTTGTAAATTTGTTTAAGTTCCTTGAAAATTCTGGCTATTAGACCTTTATCAGATAGGTAGATTGCAAAAATTTTCTCCCATTCAGTGGGTTGCCTGTTCACTCTATGCTAATTGCTTTTGCTGTACAGAAACTCTTTAGTTAGTTAGATCCTACTTAGCAATTTTGGCTTCTGTTGTAATTACTTTTGGTGTTTTAGTCATGAAGTCTTTGTCCATACCTGTATCCTGAATGGTACTGCCTAGGTTTTCTTCTAGGGTTTTTATGGTTTTGGGTTTTACATTTAAGTTATCTTTAATCCATCTTGAGTTAATTTTTGCATAACATGTAAGGAAGGGGTCCAGTTTCAGTTTTCTGTGTATGGCCAGCCACTTTTTCCAGCACCATTTATTGAATAGGGAATCCTTTCCCCATTGCTTGTTTTTATCAAGGTTTGTTGAAGCTCAGGTGGTTGTAGATGTGTGGTGTTACTTCTGGGGTCGGTGTTTTGTTCCATTGACCTATATATCAGTTTTGGTACCAGTAATTTGGTACTTCTTTATATATTGATAGCCTCAGTTGTTTTAGCTTTGTGTACATTTATCCCAAGGTCACATCCTTCTATAAACTTTAGAGGTTATGGTCTAAAATTGTTGTCATTCTTATTTCTTTAAATTTTCTCTCTCCCTTTTTCTTGACTATTTTGCTTTAGAATGAAAAGTCTTGACAAGTCTTTATCCTGGACACTGTTTTTGAGGATTCCCATGAGTGTGGGCCATTGTTTGATTTGAAATTTACTTGAAGAAAATGGTTTTCCTTTCACTAAAGTGCCATGTTACTAGCCCTGTAAATTTCATCTTTTATTTATCTTTTATTATTTGCAGGTAATTATCCATTTTTTTCAGTTATTTTACCTATTATATGTCTACTAATATACTTTATTATTTTTATATGTAATTTAGGTTTGTTGTACAAAGCATTTTTCGTTTTATTGATTTTTTTGCTCTAATGTCATCTGCTTGTTTTGGTCAACAAGGTTTTATATAGGTCATGTAACATTTATAAATTTTAAATATAATATTTAGTATCTTAGTATAAAAAGGAAAGCAGTGCATTCTTTTTAGGTTTTTTGTAAAGTTTCATTTATCTTAGACACTAACAGTCCTTAAATGATTATATTGTATTTCCTCCAGCAGGTCATAGTCATAGTTTGGAAACTGAAAAGAATCTTAAGGATTAAAAGCTCCACGGGGGCTCCATGAATCAGTATTGTGTCTTCAGTATCTGGAAAACTCCCTGACACGTAGTATGATTTTTGAATTGGCAAATAAATACGATCAATGTAAAACAACTATTTTTATATGAAGGCCAGTTAAGAAAAAATAAAAATATTTCTTTATATCGTGCCTTTTATTACATCTTTAAACATTCAAAGTACAAATAACTTTATTAAATCCAAGAGGAGGTAAAGTACATATAAGTATGCACACACGTTTTTACATACATATATGTTCTTATAACCCAGATTACATATTTTTTCGACTGAAAGGATGTCAGTAAGGTTGTTGGCACTGTTTTTAGCTGATAAAAGACTAATAGAAGAGCCTATTTGAGAAACACTAACAAGGAACTTTGTAATCTTTCATCCTATGTATCGGTATATCTTATAAGAATCTTACAAGTTCATTTGTCTGTGCTTTCCATTTCAATCTTGAAACAGTGGTGCTGATTCATTCATCCATTCTTTCTTTCTTTTTCTCTTTCTCTCTTTCTCTCTTTTTTTCTTTCTTTCTCTCTCTCTCTCTTCCTGTCTTCCTTTCTTTCTGACAGAGTCTTGCTCTGTCAAGCAGCTGGGATTATAAGGATGTACCATCACACCTGGCTGATTTTTGTATTTTTAGTAGAGACTGGGTTTCACCATGCTGGCCAGGCTGGTTTTGAACTCCTGAACTTCAAGCCTTGGCCTCCCAAAGTTCTGGGATTATAGGCATTAGCCATCACCCCCGCTGCTCATAGATTTTTTAAGGTGAAAAATAGCAGAGTCAGTTTATTTTCTCAAGGTATATCACTGATTTTTTAAATTAAAATAAAATTTTAAATATTTTCAGATTTTACAGTGCTGGCTTTAATATTGTCATTCTTTTCTAAGATTCCTATTCATAGTTTCATTTTGTTGTAAGAGTAGCAGATTACTTTAGTAGAGTTATCAGATTTATCAGATTAGAAATACAGGACACCAGTTAAATTTGAATTTCAGAATAACAAATATTTTTCCATGTAAGTGTAATCCTTCAATATTTGGGACATACTCATACTAACAAATAGTTTGCTGCTTATTTGAAATTCAAATGTAATTGGTTGTTCTGTGTTTTATATGGTAACTGTATCTAGAAAAGGCTCCCCCGCCCCCCGCCCCGCTCTCTCACCATCATTTTCCCAGAATTTCTAAGGAATGTTTTACTTTGGTTTAGTTATCATATTAAAAGCATTGTATGTACTGTAATTAGTATTTTGTACACCATACTTTCTTCACAGGATGAACACTTAAGATTTTGCAGTGTCTAATATTTTGCCTGGTTCTTTTAAAATTTATTTTTGACATTCACCAAGAAAACATCTGACTTACAAGGCTCTACCTTTTTCAGTTTTCAGCTTATTTAAACATGAGCTGTAGAAAAGAGAACACAAAAAACTTTGTCTTTTTTTTCCCCTCGACTTTTATTTTAAGTTTCGAGGTACACGTGCAGGATGCACAGTTTTGTTATATAGGAAACATGTGCCATGGTGGCAAGAAACTTAGTCTTAAAGATGTTGCTGTAAACTTTCATCAAATTTTATTTATGCCCAGAATGAAAATGGATCCCACATTATGAGTCTGGATAGAAGCCAAAATGACCGCTTATAATTGCTGTATACTCAGTGTCATCAATTACAAACAGATATAGACAGATGTTTTATCACAATATCACAACATCTTTCACAAGCTATTGTGAAAATAAATTTGATAATATATATCCTTAGGTTCACTTCAGGAGTATGGTTACGTGTGTTTTACCTATTATTTTTATCTTTTAGGAATCTGCTAATCACTTTTTCTTCCATTTAAAAAGTTAATTTGGCTTTAACTCCCTTCTCTACCACCTATTTCTATATCCATTTTAATCTGTCTTTTCTTTTAATGAAATTTAAAAAAATCAGTCTTAATATGTTTCAGAGGAATGATGCTTTTGCTTTCCTCTAGAGAGTGGCAATATGTAATGAGTGGCATGCTTTTAGAGGTATAGGAAAGGCATTTGACCCTATGGAGCCTTCCCTACTCAGGGAAGGAGCTGCTGTTCTTATACCTGGCTGAACTTCCCTGCGTATAAGAAAACTAACTTTATGTTTATGTAGTTTTCTCTTTAATCTCCTTATCTGTGAAAGAGATTCTGCAACAGCTTTCAGTAGCTAATTACAATGTTTGTCACCTCAATTAAGAGAAAAATTTATCCTTATAGTCCCATTCTGTGGGTCAAATTTGGTTCCTCTTTTCTTCAGTAAAGGTGAAGTACAATTGTGGTAGAGCTTTTTATATATACTTAGAAATTATTAGGATTTGTGTAATAGTTTTAAACATCTTTTCATCATTCTAAAGAGTGGATTTGTGTAATAATTTTAAACATCTTTTCATCATTCTAAAGAATGCTTTGCTGTGGACTACTCAATACTTATAACTTTGCCTGAAAGAATATACAATAATTTTCATTGTCTTAATTTTTATTCATTCAGTTTCCATTCATTGGTTGAAAGTATACAACTGATGTGGAGTATTTGGAATTCGTTTTTGGTGGTTTCTTTGGTTATTATTTCTTTTTATCCTGTTTAATAATAACATTCTCTTTTCCTTTCTAGCACAAATGTGCAGGTATCTGAAAGCCCTTTTTGTTGCACTCAAGAGGAAGCAAGATCATTAGTTGAATCGGTAAGGGGCAAACATCCAAGTCATCCTTTAATGTTATACATGACATAGGTAGTCATGTATATTTTTCATTGCTAGAAATTCTGAAATTTCTAGCAATGAAATGTGTCAAGTCCTTTTGAGAAGAATAAAGCTTAAAAATCATATTGAAATCTACTTTTATAATTCAAGGAATTCAAATGAAAAACTTAAAACCTTTTAGTTGAGTTTTTAAATTCTGTATTTGAAAGTACATTAACCATTTAGTTAATTTCATGACACTGTTTTTCTTATCAGTTTATTATTGTTTATATGAACATGCTCTCCTCTGTACTGTTGTATCTCCATGAATTATCTTCTGTCCAGTGTCTACATGGGAGCTAGCTATTGGCACAGTTCCAGCTTAAGAAAAATAAAATTGTCCCAACATGGGAGCTCACTCCTGGCCAAGGTGGGTGAATCACTTGAGGTTGGGAGTTTGAGACCAGCCTGGCCAACATAGCGAAACCCTATCTCTACTAAAAATAGAAAAAATTAGCTGGGCCTGGTGGTACATGCCTGTAATCCCAGCTACTAAAGAGACTGAGGCACAAGAACCATTTGAACTAGATGGCAGAGGTTGCAGTGAGCTAAGATTGTGCCACTGTACTCCAGCCTGAGTGACAGAATGAGACCCTGTCTCAAAAATAAAATTGAAAATAAATTTAAATTAAAAATAAAATTATGTTTTTCACCTTAAGAAAAACAAAATTGATAAGACTGTTTGCTTTTTATTTCCCCTTAGTTTAGCTGTCTCACATGTTTCTGTAAACTGAGATGATATCCTTGAATTTTTACATGTCAGTGATAATCCTGCTTAGTCAACTGAATTTATTAGTAAATTAATGACTGATTTGGAGATCACTAAATAAGAAAATTTATATTCAAATAATCAAGTAATAATGCTTATATAAAGTGTATTTAGGAGTGATCTTACGCTGGAATCTCATTTATAAATTAAGGGTTTTTTAAAACTATGAGATTTAAAAACTAGTGAATTTAGATCTTTACATTAAGAACAACTAAAATGTTCCTAAATGTTAGTTGATCACTGTGGCTGCTTTTAATTAATTTATTTATTTATTTTCCCACTAATGTATCGGCTGTCTAATGAATGCCTGTTATGTGGTAAGATCTAGGTGCTGGGAATGCAGTATTAAAGAAAAAATACTGGAGAGATGGATAAGAAAGAATTATGCAAGTAAAATAATAAACGTCTCAGGGATTAATAAATGCATTCTGAAAAATGAGCAGGAACGAGGGGATAAAGTGCCAGAAGTGGGATGGGAGTTGAAATCATTAAGAAGGTGGTCAGCCACAGCCTCACTACAAAGAGGGCCAACATATGAGCAAGGATTTGTAGAAGGTGAGGGTGTGAGTCAGGTGAAAGAAGAGCATTCAAGGCCACACTCCCAAAGGTCCTGAGGCAAGAGGATGTCTGAGGTATTCAAGAAACACCCAAGGAGACCATGGTGACTGCTAGAGTAGAGAAGGTATGGGGGAGAAAGGAGGAGGTGAGACTGGAAATGTTTGGATCTGGGTTTGAAGATGGGGTTGATTATGAAAGACTGTGCAGGTAATTTAAGGATTGCAATTCTTATTCTGAATGAGGTAACCATTAAAATATTTTCAGTAAAGGAGTGTTCTAATCTGACTTTGATTTTAACAAGATTATTCTGGTTGCATTGGTGAGAATGGACTGTAGGCCATAATTAGATTAGAGAAGATACAGGGAAGCTGTCACAATGATGCAGGCCACATTATTTTCTCCAGGTTATCAGTTTTGTATCTCTGTAGATTATATTCAGAATTTGGTTTTCATTACTTATTTAAGGGTAAAATAAAGGAAAACAAAAACTTTTCATGTTTATACAAGCAGTCTTTCTCACTAATCTCAGATTGAGTCTATTCCATGTATTTCAGTTTTAGATTCATAAATAATATAGTAGATACTGGTCTTAAAATTAGTCACAAGCTTAAAGTTTCTATATTACATTTTTCTCTTTTGCTTTTTCATTGTTTTCTGTCACATTAGTGGCAAAACAGTCAAAAAATAATTGGAGGACATATATATGATCTAGTTAGATTAGAAGAATAAGATTAGAATTCAGAAAGGTGAACATATAGCTTTAATTACATGGCTTGGTAACTTGGTTGAGCTTTACAATAATGAAGAAAGTACTATACTGAATAATTTTTCACTGAAAATATTGCATCAGACATTTACAATTTAGAGAAACCAGTCCCTCTTCACTAGCTCAGTGGAACTTCATGTATGCCAGTTTTCATTATTAAATATTTGTAAGTCAAATAATTGCCCTATTGGCACCCTCATTAGTGATTCAGGATTCTTAGAGCCCAGATTAGTTAACACCCTTCTCATATAGAGTTTAATTTGTAATAACAAAATTATTTGTCATAAAAGCATTTTGTCTCATCATTTCCTTTCTTCAGAATCACATTGAAGTGTTTGAATTGGAATTATTTGGGTGTATATTTCCATGTCTCTTCATTTTGCTGTATACTGAATATTGTACAGTCTTCAAAGGGCTGTCAGTTTTCTTTTTTTGTACTCTAATTGCTTAGAATAATTGAAGACACAGAAGTCATCTATCATATTTGATCAGATTCAGACCATATCAAGTCCTGAATTTGTATGAAACAAATTAGAAGACCCAAAATTTGTTAGTGAGCTTAGAATAAGCAAATTAACAAGTCTAACATGTACCTAAGTATTATTTTCTTGAGACTTACCTGTAGATGTTAAATGATCCTGAAGTATGGTCATTAGAAGGCCAGACAATAAGGGAGGTTTTCACTTTCTAGATGCATATTGCTAGAATACTCAGGATATGTTGATTGAAATTTTCGAATACGGTTAACTGCTTTGTACTTTAAAAACAGATGAAATAAATGAACTAAACTTTTGAGTAATTAATAGAACTATTGTAGGAAGTATATGCTGGATGAACATACACTGATCAAAACACAATTAAGTATAACATTGACGCTAAAAAAATTAGTAGTCATCCAACAATATGTACAGATCAGTTAGGAAAAATATTGAAAAATATTGTTAGAATATCCAAGAAAAATAAAATACAAGCTAACAAATTGATGAATATTATTAAGAACCCTCTTAGAAACAAAATAGAAAATATCTACAGAAGTAATTTATCATACTTAGGTTAGAGATCTTAAAAAGGATAGATCTGAAAAGATTTCGAAGGAGAATTTAAATGATCAAAATGATTATTGGGTTTTGTTTACAAATGTAGATGTTGAATTATATTTGATCACAAAAAGCATGACTGTATCATAAACAAGTTTTCTTCATTTGATCCCAACATACTCGGGATCCATAAAAGGCAGAGAGTGCTCTGAGTGGGCTACAGCATGTGGCCCCTGGCAACAGAACTACTATTCTGTATGTAAGAGTTCAACTGCAGGACTACTCAATTATTATTATTATTTTTTGAGAGACAGTGTTCTGCTCTGCCTTCCAGGATGGAGTGCAGTGGCATGATCGTATAGTTTATGGTAGCCTTGACTTCCTAGGCTCAAATGATCCTCCCACCTCAGCCTCCCAAGTTGCTGGGACTACAGGTGTGTGCCACCACACTTAGTGAATTTTTTGTAGTTTTTGGTAGACGTGGGGTCTCACTTTATTGCCCACGCTGGCCTCAGACTTCTGGCCTCAAGCAGTCCTCCCATTTCAGCCTCCCAAAGCACTGAGATTACAGGTGTAAGCCATTGCACCCGGCCTACATTTCTTTTTGTAAAGTTTTTAACGTTCACTTGATTTTACAGCCAGAAGATATGACATTCTTCCCAAATACTTGAGAATTTTGTGACCAGCAGTTGGCTCTTTATTTCAGGGAGCAAGACTTAAAGCATTTATAGAGAACAAAGAATGTTTGTGTGTGCATGTGTGTATGTGTATGCAAACACATGATTTGCCTTTCAGATAATATTGTTGATAGTCTTTAAAGTTATTTGATTTGACTATTGGGATTTATGATGTGACTTTTAGGACCCTTTAGTTAAATATTATTTTGAGAATATTGAAAAGATTCAAATAAAATATATAAGATTAATCTAATGGACATATGTAATTAGTGAATACCTCATTTTTTCAAGTATATGTATTCATTTTCAAAAATTGAGTAGCTATTAGGCCACAGATAGAGTTGCTAAAGACTTGTCTTGCATATCAAATCCTCTGTCTATAATATAATCAATTATGAAAGTATTAAAAAAGCAGAAGTTTACATGTTTGGAAATTTAAAAGTAAGTCAGGGCTTATAAAATAAATTATAAATAATTTATATTTAAAACTAAAATATTTTAAATTGAGAGGCCACTGAGGCAGTGTATGTTAAAACTTATGTAATGCAGCAAAAATAGTTCCTGAGAAATTAAATGTAAACAATATAGTAGAAATGAAGGAAAATTATAGAAGTTCAACTTAACAATTACTCTGTTCATTTTTCTTTTTATATTAGAAGAAAATTATAAAGAGTAGTGTAAATATTTAATGAAACAGAAAACAAAGAAATAATGACAAGATCAAGGAAAGCAAAAGCTGGCTTTTCTTTCTTTTAAGACTAATTATATAGACCTGTGCCAAGAAGGATGATTAAATAGAATAGGCACAAATAAAAAGTAGCAGGAACTAAAATGAAGACATAACTACAGGCAGAAGACATACTTAAATAATCAGAGAGAATACTGAAAAGCTTTCTGCAATAATTTTCTAAACAAAGATGAATTGATAATTTTGCTTAAAATATAAATTGCCAATATTAAATCAAGAATAAACGGAAAACACAAATAGGTTTGTAAAACGATACTTAATCATGAAGATGGCAGTTTTTCCCATGTTAATTAATGAAGTGAGTCTCTTTTTTTTCATCAGAATCCCAGTGAGATTTTCACTGAACCTCACAGGGTGACTCTAAAATGTATATGAAATAGTAAAGGGC